TCTGCTGAAGTTGACTTAGAAATGAATCGCCAAACTGGTACTTCACAAAGTATCAAATTGTGCTCCTCCAGAGTTTATACCTGTCCTGGGCTCAAGCTCTCACTATGCCCAGTGGCTTGGAGGCCAGAAAGATGTGGCACTGGGAGCCCTTTCCTGACAGCAGAAGCAGGTGCAGATCACTGTAAATGCGGTTCCTGTCAAGAACTGACAGCCTCATCACACCCAATTTCGGAATTTCTCTAAGACACAGCCCAGGAGGGCCCAAGGCTCACTTTTTCCAAAGGTCTCCTCCTACAGGCACATTCTCTGAAGTTTCAAAGTCTCACCTGAGAACCTGAGAAAGGCAGATGATGGGAACTTAGGACAAATGGGTTCCCAGCCCCATCCTCAGTGATGCTGAGGGGCAGAGGGTTCCAGTGAATGAGGTGGAGGGGCCAAGGCTCAGTCCAGAACCAAAGGAGGAATTATTATCTCCGCTTTGAGAAGTGGAAACTCAGGCTGAGAGGTGTGAAAGGCAAATATCGTGGGCCCCCAAATCACTAAGGAAAACGCAAGCCAGAAATTACTTAGGGTAAACCTGCCTCTAATTCTATTCAAAGTAGCCCTCTGCTCACTGAGAGAGATGTGTATCAGATTGCCTCCTTTGGAAAGGCCAGTCAGAAACGGAAAAGAATTCAAGTGTTTGTGTCTCACTCATCTGTGACCTATACGCTTCTTCCCTCTTCAAATACAAAATATGTCTTTTGTATTTGCTTCAAGTTGTTCTGCCTTTCCAGAATGAACCAATGTACTTCTTAGATATATTGATTGATGTCTCATGTCTCCTTAAAATGTATAAAACCAAACTGTGTCTCAACCACCTTGGGTACATGTCCTCAGGACTTCCTGAGGCTGTGGTATTATGGGCACATCCTCAACCTTGCCAAAATAAACTTTTTTTTTTTTTTTTTTTTTTTTTTTGAGACAGAGCCTTGCTCTGTTGCCAGACTGGAGTGCAGTGGCATGATCTTGGCTCACTGCAACCTCTGCCTCCCGGGTTCAAGTGATTATCCTGCCTCAGCCTCCTGAGAAGCTAGGATTACAGGTGCACACCACCATGCCTGGCTAAGTTTTGTATTTTAGTAGAGATGGGGTTTCGTCACATTGGCCAGGATGGTCTTGATCTCTTGACCTCGAGATCCGCCCTCCTTAGCCTCCCCAAAGTGCTGGGATTACAGGTGTGAGTCACCATGCCCAGCCCAAGTGTGTGTAGTTAGAAAAGCCTTTACAAAAGCAAAAATGTTCTCTTAGGATTTTTTTCCCCCATAAAATGTATTGCTAATGATCAGAGCCCAACAGTGCACATGACCAGTGCACACGCAACAGGTACCCAGCACCCCACAGGTCTGGCCATGCCAGGCAGCTGCAAACAAGAGTGAAGCCCTCCAGGAGGAGGGCCCAATGGACGGAGTTCAGGTTGAAGTCAGAGAAATTAGACTGGAGGCTCCCAGGGACAGTGGCAACATCAGGACCAATGTTTGCCCTGAGAAGCTTCCCCCAGGCGGAAGCATATGTCCCAAATAAAAGAGCTTCCACCTGCTGGCTGCTGTGGGTTTCATTCTTGCTCCTGCTAAGAGTCTTCCAAGAAAGTGGTGATGTGGCACACCCAAGCAGCCAATGCCTCCTGGAAACTCCTCTACTTTGCTAGCTTAGTTGGAAATCTTTTTCAATTTAAAACCTGAAGTTTTGATGGTGCCCATTATATTAAATCAGGCTGTGCGTCTGTAGCTGAAAACCAGCCTTCCTCAGTCCATGTTTAGAGACTGACAGAGGTGGGGATCTGTGCAAGGTGCTCACTGCCTGATGACAATAATTCTGAATGGCAGTCATGAGTGAGACCCAGAGATGTCGGGGGAAATGAACTCGTTGTCTTTGGGAGGATCAGAGGTGAGAAATGAGCTAGCTCAGCAGTCGGGATTCAGGGAAGTGTTAATTTAGAGCTGTACTCCCACGTCAAACAGCTGACTGACTGGGAATGCCTGGGTGCACAGGACCTTTGGGAATGTGCTAGACTCTTCGCAAAAATGGCCTCACTTATCTCCCACCCTGCATCTGTGCCCTTTTCTTTTTTTGAGACAGAGTTTTGCATTGTCACCCAGGCTGAGTTGCAGTGGCATGACCTTGCCTCACTGCAACCTCGGTCTCTTGGGCTCAAGCGATCCTCCCACTTCAGCCTCCTGAGTAGCTGGGACCACAGGCACATGCTACCACATCCAGTTAATTTTTTTTTTTTTTTTTGGTAGAGACAGAGTCTCATTATGTTGCCCAGGCTGGTCTTAAATTCTTGGCCTCAGGTGATCCTCCTGGTTTGGCCTCCCAAAGTGCTAGGATTATAGGGGTGAGCCACTGTGCCTGGCCCATGCTCCTTTTCAGTGTCACTTTCCAAAGACTCTCATCAGGAAGTACAGTCTATTTTCCTACCCTTTGAATCTGGGCTTAGCTATGTGACTTACTCTGACCAACAGAATGTGGCAGAAATGACTTTATGCCAGTGAAGCTGACACCAAGAGAGAGTGCATGCTTCTGCTTACCTTCCTGGGATCTGCCATCACAGCTATGTAAACAAGCCTAAGCTAGCCTGCTGGAGGATGGGAGATGCGGAATCCCATCTCCCGTAGTTTCCCCTACGGCCCTGGCCAACAGCCCAACAACCATCAGAAGCAGAGTTGCTTATCTGGACATCAGCTGATCACAGACACATAAAGAAGCCTGGCTGAGAACAGAAGAACCTCCCAGCTGAACCCAGCCTGGACTGCTGATTCACAGGATTATGAGCTAAATACATGGCTGTTTTAAACCACTACATTTTGGGTAATTTGTAATGCAGCACTACTTGTGGTAAGCGCCAGCTAATACAAGAGGTCAGGAGTGATTCATCTTTTCTGGGAAAAGGCCAGGCAGCTATCACAAAAATCTGACCCCACGTAGGGTCACTAGGGTGTGAGTGGGAAGACGCAGTCTTCAGAAGCAAACATTTCTTTCAAATAAAAAAAAGACACAAAAAATAACCGATTCACATATTTCTCTGTTTATATATATTTTCTCTATATATAGACACAACTCTTCAGCAAACACTTAAAGATATGTGGGCCACACTGAAAGAAAGAGTGCACTCCATGGACAAAACAACTCTCACGCATCCTATCCAGGACACAGAAACACACACAACATACAGAGATCTGAATAGGCACAGTAAACTAAATAAATACGACTTATGCCAAATCACAACCATAGATGTTCTCTGGAACATCACGAGAGAAGGCAGAGAAGAGATTTTGTGCTGTACTTTGAGACTAGTCTGTTAAAAAAATAAATAGGAATCAGAAGGTCTGGGACCTGGCTCTTGCTAAAATAACATCCTCTGTAGCAAACAGCTGAATGGCAAAATAAGTTTTCTCCAGAGGGGCCTTTTGCACATTTCTTCCTGTCCTGGGAAGCTGGGGTACCTAGGACAGGGAGACGCAAGTCTGACGGCAGCCAGAATGCTGCCGTCTCCCGTTTCTGCTTTGGCGGGGTTGGGTAGGAGCTGGGAGCCGTGAAGGCTACTGTAGCCTTGCGTCTCCCACGGAGCTGTCATCAGGAAGGGCTGACTAGACCTCTATCCACCCTGCACCAGAGGTTGGGCAGAGGCTGGAGGTTCGGGTGGCGTTGAAGTTGCTGCAGCCAAGGGAAATCAGCCTTCACAAGCACACCAGGCAAGGATGCGTTTCCATCCTGGTGTGCTCAGGGTGGGAGGACTAACACGCCCCTCCGAAAATGCTTCGCCACGCTGCTTCACCTATCCTCTCCCGCCTCCAGAACCCCAGCTGTCATCCTCTGACCACCCTAGAGGTGGCAGGTCTCCCGTGAAGAGCCTTTCCCTCGGATGCTTGCTGGGTTTCTCCGATTCTGGGTGCATTCTCAGAAGAGAAGAGCGGGAAGACTGTTCTATTGAACGCTCACTTCGGGTCTGTTTGTGATTTGGTGACACTCTGTGTGAAGACCTGGAGGGGACCGTTCCCAGACCCAGCACAGCCCTGCATCTAGTTCATCAGCAGGTATTTCCCAAGGAAAACACACACCACACTCTACCCTGGCCGACCTCTGCCTTCCTTTTCCTCCTTTGCCCTGAGTAACCGCACTTAGAGAAAGGCTGCCCTCCTCCACCATCAAGTAGCTTTCACAAAACACACACCTTTCCAAGACCCACTTGGAAGGTGACGCAGTTTTTCCTGCAAGTTGGCAGCAGGACGTAGGCTCTGCCCTGCCTGGGGGGATCTAAGCAGGATCACAAAGAGCTCTGACTGTCTCAGGCCTACGGACACTTTTTGGGTGCCATCACCTAGGTGGGGAGATGCTTTTCTTGAAAAGAAGAAAAGAAGTATCTCCTGGCATCAGACAGAGGAGAGAAAAGGAGAAAATACAACAAATGGAATCCCAGACTCCCAAGAGAGACGTGTGAGGGACTCCTGTGTGCCTTCTCTTTTTTTTGAGACTGTCTCGCACTGTCACTTGAGCTGGAGGGTAGTGGCGTGATCTCAGCTCACTGCAGCCTTTGCCTACCGGGTTCAAACTATTCTCCTGTCTCAGCCTTCCAAGTAGCTGAGACGACAGGGTGCCCGCCACCATGCCCAGCTATTTTTTTTTTTTTTTTGAGACAAGAGTCTCACTCTGTCACCAGGCTGGAATGCAGTGGCACGATCTTGGCTCACTGCAACCTCCGCCTCCTGGGTTCAAGCAGTTCTCCCATTGCAGCCTCCCAGGTAGCTGGGACTACAGGTGCACACTACAATGTCCAGCTAATTTTTGTCTTTTTAGTAGAGATGGAGTTTCACTATGTTGGCCACGATGGTCTTGATCTCCTGACCTCGTGATCCACCTGCCTCAGCCTCCCAAAGTGCTGGAATCACAGGCGTGAGCCACTGCACCCGGCCAATTTTTTTTTTTTTTTTTTTTTGTATTTTTAGGAGAGCCAGGGTTTTACTACATTGGCCAGGCTGGTCTCAAACATCTGACCTCATGATCCGCCCACCTTGGCCTCTCAAAGTGCTGGGGTTACAGGCATGAGCCACCATGCCCGGCCTCCTGTGTGCCTTTTCTAAGTGAGGGAGGCCTCAGGACCAGGGTGGCTTAGCATCAGAAGAATGGGGCAGGAAGTACATTTGTAGCCCCTCCTCCAAGTCGGTGGTTCTCAAATAGGGGCAATTTTGCCTGCAGGGAACACTTGGCAATATCTAGAGACATTTTTGGGGGTTGTCACAACTGGGGGTGTGGGTAGGGAATGATGCTACTGGCATCTGGTGACGCCAGGAATGCTGCTCAGCATCCTCCAATGCAGGGGACAGTCCCTTCAAAAAGAATCATCTGGTCCCAAATATCAGCAATGTGGAGGTGGAGGGTCCATCTTTAAGTCAATCTTTAGCATGGCCAGAACATCTCCAAATGCCCCTTGCAAAGCAGCATAGAGGCAGCCCCACAGACCTCTTCTACATCGATTTCCAAAAAGAAATGCCCTCCCAGGTCTCATCTCACAAGACGGTTTGGAGGAATAGGGAAAGAAGAAGAGGAGGTCATTCTGGACATCAGGAAAACAAAGATGGGTCCTCCCCCAACAACAAGCCCCACCTCCTGTAAGGGGGGAATGCCAGACTTGGGCAATCTTTGGTCAAACAGGAAAACGTAAGGCTGAATTGAAGGGGTACTCCCTCTACCCCATCTGCCCAGAAGTGAAAGTCAGGGTAGTTTCTTTTTGCACTGAAGTCCATGCTTGTGAACAGACACCAGGACCCCGCTCCTGGGGTGGCCGTCCGGCCAGGAGGAAAAGTAAGCAGAGGAACAGGTGGCAGCTCGGCGGAGGCTGCCTGGGTGAGGTGCCCCTCACTTGTTCTCGATCAGAGTCTGCACCTTGTACACGAGGTCCCGCGCCAGCTTCAGGACTTGTTTGGTGTTGTGTCGTTCAGCCATTTCTGAAAGAGCAGAAGGAAAAATCTCATGAGCCTCCTTCTGTGTCTAGTCTTAGGGTGCACTTCTAGCCCCTGGAGCTTCTTGGGGGGCATCTTCATCACAGACTGACTCAGGAAGCAGAGACCCTGAAGAAGGCTGATACCCCTGGACCTCAGTTTCCTCATCTGTAAAATGGGGATTGGAATGGCAGCCGCCTCACCAAATTACTGTGGGGATTGAATGGGATGATGCTGGTTCACAGATGTGCCATAAAAAGGCGAGGTCCTTCTACCCCTCCTATAAGCAGAATGACTGAAAGCAGTGCTGAGCACATAGCAGACGCTGAAAGATATGAAAAGCAGGCTGGGCGTGGTGCTCATGCCTGTAATCCCAGCACTTTGGGAGACTGAGGCAGCAGATCATGAGACCAAGAGATCGAGACCATCCCAGCCAATATGGTAAAACCCTGTCTCTACTAAAAATACAAAAATTAGCTGGGCATGGTGGTGCACACCTGTGGTCCCAGCTGCTTGGGAGGCTGAAGCAGGAGAATTGCTTGAACCCAGGAGGCGGAGGTTTCAGTGAGCCGAAATCACACCACTGCACTCCAGCCTGGCGACAGAGAGAGACTCCATCTCAAAANAAAAAAAAAAAAAAAGGAGGAAGGAAGCAACAGAAGGAGGAAAAATAGAGATGGAAGAAGAAAAAAGGACAGAAAAAAATTTTATCAAGATCCACGCAACGTGGTCCGTCCTCTAAACTAGAATAATCCTAAACTTAGACATTTATCATAAACAAACCATTCAGTACAAAGAAAACAAGGAAAAAAAAAAACACACTAAAACTAACACATGGTTCCCAAACTGGGCACTGAGGTACCCCAGTGTTTCACAGTGAAAACAGGGGCACGGTGGAGCATTTGGATATTTTGAGGGAAGCACAGCAATGCTCCACCTAAGTTGAGTGCCACGTCAACTGTTAGCTGGAGTGAGTTCACAACTTTCACTACACTCCCATTAATAACTTGCTTTTTTTTTTCTTTTGAGATAAGGTCTCACTCTGTCGCTCATGCTGGAGCGTGCAGTGGCGTGATCTCGGCTCACTGCAACCTCCACCTCCCAAGCGCAAGTGATTCTCCTGCCTCAGCCTCCCGAGTAGCTGGGATTACTGGTGTGCACCACCATGCTAGGCTAATTTTTGCATTTTTAGTAGAGACAGGGTTTCACCATGTTGGCCAGGCTGGTCTGGAACTCCTGACCTCAAGTCATCCGCCTGCCTTGGCCTCCCAAAAAGCTGAGATTACAAACGTGAACCACTGTGCCCAGCCTCCCATCACTGACTTTCTGATTTTGCAAAGCTAGGTGTTCAGAAGCAGCTGCAATACAAAGCAAGTGCCGTGTGCAAGTCAGTATGGACCAGAAAACGAAACGGGTGATGTGCAATCCCTTTCCAAGGCGAGGCCTGAGAAGGTGCGCAAAGCCCAGCAGGTGCACACACCCCATTAGCAATTGTGCTTATTTAGGAATGAAGTGAAAATGTTATTTTTAAAATATATATATATGTATTATTTTTTCAATGGCTTCTAAGTTGTTAGGATATAAATATTTATTAAGTGGTTTGGACCTACCTACCTACTAAATGAAACTTTTGGCCTGAGGTGCTATTATAATTTTTTTTTTTTTTTTAGACAAAGTCTCGTTTTGTCACCCAGGCTGGAGTGCGGTGGCACCATCTCAGCTCACTGCAACCTCTGCCTCCTGGGTTCAGCGATTCTCCTGCCTCAGCCTCCCGAGTAGCTGGGACTACAGGTGTGTGCCACCACACCTGGCTAATTTTTGTTTTGTTTTTAGACAGAGTCTGACTCTGTCGCCCAGGCTGGAGTGCAGTGGTGTGATCTCGGCTCGCTGCAACCTCCGCCTCCTGGGTTCAAGTGATTCTCTTGCCTCAGCCTCTTGAGTAGCTGGGACTACAGGCACATAACACCATGCCCAGCTGATTTTTGTATTTTTAGTAGAGACAAAGTTTCACCATGTTGGCCAGGATGGTCTCGATCTCTTGACACCTCGTGATCCACCCGCTTCGGCCTCCCAAAGTGCTGGGATTACACGTGTGAGCCACCGTGCCTGGCCAATAATTTCTTAGTTTTGACAAATGTACCTGGATCACGTAAAATGCTAACAGTAGGCAAAGCTAGACCAAGGTATGGTGCATTCTCTGTGCTATCTTAAATCTAAAACAGTTCTAAATCTACAATTTTAGTAGACAACTAAGATGCAAAATTATTCCCCAAAAAAGTTTAAAGTGGGAACCCTACTAACGTTTTAAAAGTGAGGTCACAATTGGTTTTTTCCCAGAACTTTCTTTCATTAAAAAAAAAAAATTAAATCGTGATAACAGTGGCGATAGTTTTCAATTATTAGTTCCTCATGTGAGGCAGGTACCGAATGCTGGGATTTACCCATGCTGTCTCATGTAATCCTCTGGGCCTCCCTGTGAATGAGTGAGTGTTAGTACCATTTTATCCCTGAAGAATCCGAGGCCTAGAGATGTGATGTCACTTGGACAAGGTCACACAGCTCCCAAGAGCCTGGATCAGAATTCACATCTGTCTGATTTCAAAGGCTGTGTGTTTTTTGTGTTACTTCAATTGCTGTCCTGCGTCTGCTTTTCCTGTGCATGTCAACCCTCCGAAGCAGACACTGCTGCCCCATTTCACAGATGAGGAAGCGGATGTTTACCCAGAGGGGAAGTGACTTGTCCATGGACACAGCTGGTCAGCGGTGGAACAGGCTTTGCCCCTGAGCTGATTTCAACACCCGTGCTCCCTCTGCCAGACCCCTGAGAAAAATGCACCCTCAGCATGACAGGATGTCAACTTGTCTTTCTGGGAATAGCCATAAGAAGTGGGCAGAGCCCTCTTCATGCCCTTCACCATACATCCATCTCAGCCCATTCTCATGCCTCCTGAGACCCCCAGAAGGGGCCTGCAGAAGCCTGCACCCCTCTCATGAGGCCCCAGTCATGTGGGTACCATTAAAGAATTTGATGATGTCTGTGAAATCCATGTTGTTCTCCAAAATGATGTCGCGGTAGACTTCCACCAGAGCCAGCGCGATGAACAGGACGTAGTGCGCAGAGGAGACATGTTTGGCTGCCCAGATGGTCTCCCAGACCAGGAAGACGTCATCATAGACGAGTTCTGCCAAGACACCAACGCGCGTGGGGAGAGAACTGGCGACAGAGCTCACAGCGTGGCCCTCCCTTGGGAAGTCCCTCTGGGAAAATCCCGGGCAAGTTTTGCCTTACGCCTCTGACCCGGTGCAGTGGACACAACTCAGGTCAAAAGGCAGGAGATCTGGACTCTGTCATTTGACCACCAGAAGCCTCAGTTTTCCCCATCTGTAGGATGGGCTGTGTGAACCAGATGAGTGCTAAGTTCCTTCTGGCTCTGACATTCTGTGAGTGGAGGAACCAGGCATGCGTGGGTTTGAATTATACAGATCTGTCCTTGCTCTGCCCCTTCAACCAGCAACACCTACTATCCCTGCACCCCAATCTCCATCAGCACCCCTGGAGGCCTCTCTCCTTTCCCCTACACACTGGCAGAGGCTGCTGCAGTTTCTGAGACTAGTGAAGAGGCAGAATAGAGTGATGGTTAAAAGCAAGGCTTCCTGTGTCCGATAAACTTGGTGTGAATCCTTCCGCCATCACTTGCTGGCAAGGGGACCCTGGGGTACTTACTTCTCCACGAGCCTCTCTTTTTCCTCATCTATAAGTGGGGCGAAGCTGACAGTAGAAAAAGACTAAAGAGCTAATACATATAAATGACTCAGCACAGTGCATGGCACTAAAGCACCATACATGTCAGAGTTGGTTTTTTTTTTTGAGACAGAGTCTCATTCTGTCACAGCCTAAGCTGGAGTGCAGTGGCTCAGTCTCGGCTCTCCGCAGCCTCTGCCTCTTGGGTTCAAACCATTCTCCTGCTTCAGCCTCCTGAGTAGCTGGGACTACAGGTGCCTGTCACTACACCCAGCTAAGCTTTCTGCATTTTTAGTATAGACGGGGTTTCACCATGCCAGCCAGGCCAGTCTCAAACTCCTAACCTCGTGATTCGCCTGCCTTGGCCTCCCAAAGTGCTGGGCTTACAGGCGTGAGCCACAGCGCCTGGCCTTTTTTTTTTTTTTTGAGATGGAGTCTCTTTGTTGCCCGGGCTGAAGTGCAGTGCAGTGGTGCCATCTCGGCTCACTGCAACCTCTGCCTCCCAAGTTCAGGCAATTCTCCTGCCTCAGCCTCCTGAGTAGCTGGGACTACAGGTGTGTGCCACCACACCTGGCTATTTTTTTGTATTTTTAGTAGAGACAGGGTTTCACTGTGTTAGCCAGGATGGTCTTGATCTTCTGACCTTGTGATCCTCTGGCCTTGGCCTCCCAAAGTGCTGGGATTACAGGCGTGAGCCACTGCGCCCGGCCCATGTCAGATATTATTATAATTACTAACATCACCCCAAATCTGAACAATAGCAACAAGGTACTGTGTTATACATCACTTTTACGTCATGTTGGAAACATGCATGAAATAAACCCTGCCTCATGGGCTTCGGAGTTCTTGGGCTCTGATACGAATGGAAGAGGTGGGTTCAGATCCTGGCTGTACTCGCCCTAGCTCTGGAGTTAACCCTTCTCAGCCTCAGTTTCCTCACTGGTAAGATGAGGATCTTAACAGCACCCACTGCAGAGGGCCAGTGCAAGACAAGGCAGGCGAAGCGACAGTCTGAACTCCGTAACGTGTGCTTCTCTCCTCCGCCGCCTGTGCTGCAAACCCCTCAACCTCATCTCCACGGGACCCTTCCCCTTGAAAGTTCTGCTACCAAGAGTCTGGAGACAGGTCCCCAGTTTAAAGTCTGTACCTCGCTTGAAATCCAGCAGGAACCAGCGGTAGCAGAAGTAGAAGTGAGTGTAGTCCCCGTTCTGATGCATCAGCTCGAACAACTCTGAGTCCAGGATCTGTCAAAGAAGGAAAGGCGGCATCAGCCTCTGGGGAAAAGGTTGGAGCAGAGGAGACAGCCGAATAAATGGTGGTACGGTGGCACACCAGACTCCACATAGCCCTTAACAGCCAGGTGCAGTGGGCCAGGCACAGTGGCTCATGCCTGTAGTCCCAGAACTTTGGGAGGCCGAGGCAGGTGGACCACAAGGTCAGGAGTTTGAGACCAGCCTGGCCAACATGATGAAACCCCATCTCTACCAAAAATATAAAAAAGCCAGGTGTGGTGGCATGCACCTGTAATCCCAGATACTCGGGAGGCTGAGGCAGGAGAAGTGCTTGAACCCAGGAGGTGGAGACTGCAGGGGGCCAAGATCACGCCACTACACTTCAGCCTGGGTAACAGAGTGAGACTTCACTTGAAAAAAAAAAAAAAGCCAGGTGTAGTTTCAAAAATGGGAAAGGATCTGAATACTGTATGCTGTCTCAAAGACTCCCCCCATAGAAATCCTTGGAAGACTCTGCCCATAGAAATCCTTAGGAGTTGCCTGCCCCTAGATAAGAGTTGTTGCACAATGCACCCTCCTTACCGCACACGGCCCACCTCCTTGCCTTGGTGACCTAATGGGGGTGGGCCCTTTGTACTTCCCACCTCCTTGTCTCAATGACCTAATGGAGGTGGGCCCTTTGCTTATCGCTCACGTAATTGTCTTCACCCTATCACTATGTTAAGATGACCTCACTCACTAGCCTTCCCCCGGACCTATACCTAATAAATACAGATGCACTTGGATGCTCAGAGCCTCGCCTGTCTCTGCTTACAAGTGGCGTTGGCCCCCCGCCCAGCTGCGCTTATCCAGTCATTTCTGGTGTCTTGTTTCTTTACTTCTCGGATCCAGTGCCTCAGCACAGCCACAGGGGACACCCCACGACCCTGTAGGGCTGGACCCCACATTTCTTCAAAGAAGATTCACAAATGGCCAAGAAGCACATGAAAGATGCTCAGCATCCTTAGTCCTTAGGAAAATGCAAATCAAAACCACAACAAGGATGGGCGTGGTTGATCACACCTGTAATCCCAGCAATTTGGAAGCACAAGCGAGTGGATCACAAGGTCAGGAGTTCAAGACCAGCCTGGCCAACATGGTGAAACCCCGTCTCTATTAAAAACACAAAAATTAGCCGGGAGTGGTGGTGGGCACCTGTAATCCCAGCTACTCAGGAGGCTGAGACAGGAGAATTGCTTGAACCTGAGAGGTGAAGGTTGCAATGAGCCGAGACCACGCCATTGGGTTTGCCCACTCCAGCCTGGGCAACAGAGCGAGACTCTTGTCTCAAAAAAAAAAAAGCCAGGAGCGGTGGCTCACGCCTGTAATCCCAGCACTTTGGGAGGCCGAGGCGGGTGGATCACGAGGTCAAGAGATCGAGACCATCCTGGTCAACATGGTGAAACCCTGTCTCTACTAA